AAATAAAATCTACAAAAGGCACACAACAAGAGAGGGGGTGGAGTGTGATGTTGCTGCTGACAGATTGTTGCTTTAAAAATAGTCTGGACCCGAGTGAGTAAAACAATTTAGAGCATTTTTATTCAGACTCATTGTCTGAAGCATTGCTGTATAGATCCCACATTGTGCAAAGAAGAAAGCAACTAAACTGAACTGTTGAGCTGCAGCTGGGGGGGCAGAGAGAAAGAAGTGACGAGGCAGACTATTGATTACTAAAGACAACAAGAAACAGAACTTTTATTTTAAATAAGTGTACAAGGAGTTGAACTATTTCAAAAATAATTAACAATAAATCACATCATTCTTTTATTTTCGTATGATTCAACATGAATTCGGCTAAAAACAACGTTTTACTCAAAGCTGCAACTTTTCAGACCGACTTCTTTGTGCCTCTGAAACCACTCTCTCACACAGAATAACTCGCTGCTTCATCATTGAAGTCAACACGAGCACAAATCTGGTACTCTGAAACTCAGAAGAAGGTTTTGCACAGATTTTCAGCAGATATTGACATTTTGTTTCAGTCCCAGTCCAGATGAAGCCAGATCAGTCTCCCTTCCTTCATAAATGTTGATTTCTGAGCTGCACTCTTATAGCAATGATTCAGTAAAGTGGTTAAACACATATTCAGCTACAAATGCCTTTATTAAATTATTACAAGTTCAGGCACTCGGTGTTGGAGCTACAAATAACTAACTTAAGACGTTTTTTATACAAATACACCAGAGAAATCAGTTTCCTGCAGTGTCTTTTCTGTTTTGGATCCCAGTGGGAAAAAAGCTGCTTCACAACAAGTCGGAAACAGTTGGGAGCTCTTCGGTGATCACCGTCTCTTTTTGTTTTTAATGCTAAAGCTTCCCGCTGCATCCATCCATCCGTCCAACCACCATCCATCAGTGCATAGTGACCCAGAAAGCAGTGTAGGTTTTCATCTGATCCAGTTGATTTATTTGTGGATCCTTTAAGGTGGAAAGTCACATTCCACTGTAAGAAAAGGAGTCTGTGTTTTTCTGAGCGTCCGTCACTCTGGTCTGCACAGATGAAGTTAATGGAATATTCAGGGGCCCCTCCATCCAACCTTTCAACGACAAACATCCACCGTGTTAGAGAGTGAACTCTTTATCCATCACAAACATCAATCCAAGCTAACAAGAAGCCAAATCATTTTCACTGTAGTTTTTATTCTCCTGCGGGTCAAGCTTAAATCTCTCATCCAGACCACGAACGCCTCGCAGCCATGGTAACCAGATACGAAGCTGCTCACTCGATGAGCTGTGGTCAGTAGATAAACACAGACGGAGCTGAGAGATAAACCTGCAGATCAGTTTTCACTGACAGGTGGAGCTTTAACGCTTATCTACATCAAAGATAAGATAAATAAACATGTTTCACCTTTTATGAAAATTATTTGGAGTGTTTTTAAGCCCAATTGAGGACAGCTTAAATGAGAATAAATGACAGGATGTAAACAACATTTAATGTGGAAAAAACAACAACTAATGGAATAAGGTTTATTAACATCCTTTGATATTTTAACTTTTATTATTAGCATTAAAACCTGATTTAAGCAGCTGGACAGAAATTATAATATAATATCAGTGCTAAATTATTTATGACAAACTCTTTTTGGAAAATAATTTGATAAAACATACAAAAGTTGTAAGACCTACATAATGCTTCAATTACATTGCTTTTAGTTACATATTTTCAAAGTTTATGCCCAAGTTAAAATTCTCGTGAATTAAACCTAATCATTTACCATAATTTACAGACTATAGAGAACACCTATAAGCCACGCTCAATAAATTTAAAAAGAAAAAATGTTGTACATATATAGGCCACACTTGTACATAAGCTGCAGGTGTCCATGTTGTAACATGAGATATTTACACAAAAACATTTTTTTAACTTTTAATAACATATCTACCAGTAACATACATAAATACATACAGTAAATGCTTTTTTTTTTTTTTTTTTTAACAGTACCTATAACAGGGCTGTTAAAAAAAAATATATATATACAGCAGCGTACCAGGAAGTCAGTGATCGCCATCTTCATATTTCTCCTACGCACCACAAATATATACGCTGCGCACTGCGCCCATGAACTTGTGCTGTCCTCTTCATCATGTTTCCCCCCCCTCACTGGGGGCCACAACGGGGAGGGGAGGAGAACGGGAGTTGGGGGGGGGGGGCTTTGTCCCCCCACCCCAGTGGACCAATGAAACTTGTCACCCACTGTCACCTGTTCGGTAATTTCAATGGCCAGATTTTTTTTAACTTTTATTCATACAGGTAGTCTCATTGAGTCACGAGGACCCACCCCCCAAGAGAGACATGTATTGAGCAGCTATGAGAGCACCCGATGTGACGAGGCTAAATGTTTTGGTGTCATGAAACTCGTTAGCCCATCCAAAAAAATATTATTTCCATAAATTAGCTGCTGCAATGTATAAGCCATGGAGTTCAAAGTGTGTGAAAAAAGTAGTGGCTTGTAGTCCAGAAGTTACAGTAAATACTCTGGTTTGGTCTCGTATAAAACCAACATGTACTGAATCTGTTAATAGGCTTGGAAATACAGACAGATTTAATTTAATTTGTTCCAAGAGCTACCTACAATGGGTTAAGATCTTGAATCTAGGAAGTCATTCATGGGCAAATAATTTTAATTTTCATTTTGACTCAATTTGTATTTATTAAACAAAATAAAGGATTTATCAGGATGGGAGACTGACTCAAAGTGAATATTTTATTTAATCTGATGGCTTTCTTAGACAAACTCAGGTAAGACTTTAAGTTAACGGCATTTTACAGTTTACTGGATCAGATTTTTTAAAAGTGATAATATAATATATATATTGGACCGAGGTGTTCATGAACTGTATTGGAATGAAATTATGTGAACTGAACTGCATATGTTTATTTGAATTAGACCTTTAGTTTTGTACAGTGCCCTGAAATAACATTTGCTATGAATTGACAAATAAACTAAACTGATGATTTGTACTAATTTGCTTTGGGCTTCAAGTTTTCAGTCAGTGCTTTCATTTGACTTCAGTTTGTTCGTCACCAGTCAGTCTTTACTTTCAAACAATCACTTGCTCTCATACACTACTGTCTCGCCCCAGGGACTTGCACTGAGCAGTGAACTTGATGATGTTCGTAAAGATAATTTAAAACACAGTTGATGTACATAAAAATAAATAAAAAATAGTCTCACTTGAATTTATAGTTTTTAATACGAGTGTGAGTTTCTTACCTCGTTGTTGCTGTAAGCATTATCGCACATCTCTATAGAGCTGAAACAAACAATATACAGCTTTTGACAAAGAAACAGAAGAGCAGATTTTCTAATTAAACCTGGTGGTACTGTATATTTAGGATGGGGGCAAGAGATTGACTGGACCAAGTACAGATGAGTATGAAAATGGCAGGTGTATGCGTTAGTAAAGGTTTGAGTGTGTCAGCCACACAACACCAGCTTTTCTTACACTTCTCACAAAAAGAATCCATCCATTCAGTTCATGTAGCAAAGCTGAATCAACAGAAGAAGCCAGGTAAAGACCAACAAGCTGTAGAAGTTCCAGCAGGCCGATGTATGGGCCTCTACTGTCTGCAGCAAACTAATGAGCAGTGTGTGCAAGCTGGAACAGCAGGAGGAGACAGCAGCACCCTCAGATTGTGGACATTTGTGTTTCAGAGTCTGAACACAGAGCAGACAGATGTGGATGGCTGCACTAAATTTTCTGCGAGAGAACAGATGGAGGGGAGGTGATACTGATGCTGCTGAACAGGTCTGATTCAATGTCAGTGTGCTTGAGATTGAGCCGAACAGACCTACGGCGGTGGTGTTTTTCAAATACATTCAAGTTGAAAACTCTGCGAGCACATGCAGCATCAGTGCTGTGGAATAGAGTTAACCAAAGTTTGCCTGCGGGCATGAATTCACATCAAAAGGAGCAACTCTTTTTGTTTCTTTGAGCTTTGGCAGATCTGTACAAGGATTGCTCCTTTTGTAGTTTTATTTTCTTGGCCTGCGAAATGAAGATGCTGCCGTCTCCCTCTCCCCCTCCCCACATTTTCTGGATTCTTTAAACCTTTTCAGGGCCAGGCTAATGAAAGACACATACAGTAGTCCCTCACTTATCGTGGGGGTTACGTTCCAGACGCCCCCACGATAGGTGAAAATTTGCAAAGTAGGGATGTTACATTTATTTTAGTATTTATGTTTAATTTAAGGCTTTATAAACTCTCCCCACACTCTTGCAATGTTCTAAACTCTCTAAAAGAGCACAGCGAAAGAAAGCAGACAGACTGTTGCTACGGTTACTGAGCCAATCAGTGCCTGGGGACGGACTGGTCATTCATGAGCACCGGGACATTTCTCGGTGGCCTGGCCCGCTCAGTAATTGCCGAGGGGGACAAAAGGTTTGGTTCAGGTCGCACTTGATGATTTTAAACAAACAATCCATGCTGCTCACTCAGGTATCCATCTCACTGAAGCTCCCACAGCAGCGATGGGGAAAGACAGACCCCACCCTCTCCTTTCTCTTTCTGAGGCTGTCTGTTATAGCAGAGCAGAGACACACAACACGTCACGTGCCCGCCTGTTGTGTGTCTCTGCTCTGCTGTGACAAACAGCCTCAAAAAGAGAAAGGAGGGGACCCCTTGGCGATCACTGAGCGGGCCAGGCCACTGGGAAATGTCCCAGTGCTCCCGATGCCCAATCTGCCCCTCAGCATAATGCTCTGGTTGGTCGCCTTCCATCAATAAACCAATCTTGAGTTGTGCACAATCTTACGTTGAAAACCCGCAAAAGTGTAAGTCTTGGAAAGTCGAACCACAAAGTATTGAGGGACTACTGTATATGCACTCCACAAAGAAAGGCTCATCGCCTCTGTTCAAACCCCACAGTTTAAAGAACCTAGATTTTGTCATGATGATTGAAATCACAGTTAAATCACAAAACAGAGTATTCATCTTGCACAGGTGTAACCCACAACTCTTTCCATTATTTTAACACAAATCAAAGAAAAAAATGCTCATCTAAGATTATTTTTTCAAGCTATCAGACCTTTCAATGATGCATAACACAACTACTACAGTACATATAGGTATGCGTTTTGATAAGGATCAGCGTGGAGGTTGTGGACCACCAGTTCAGCATGAATGTCTCTGATTAGCAAACAGCTCCAGATTGAGCTGCCTAGTTTGTCCCCAGATTAGTCCCCCGTTGATTGGCAGATTGACTCACAGCAAGCGGGTCTTGGCTGAAAGCCGCTACGCTGTTCCGCATCTCATTCTCACTGCCACGCAGCGGTATCAGTACCACATTACGTTGGCGCGTATCTGGAAGAGTGCGGCCCACCCGGGTCTGCGGGAGTCCTTCCTGAGGCCACAGGTCACCGTCATACTGAAACACGGAACAGGCAAGGAGAAATGAAGACATGAGAGGGATAAATAAGAGACTTCATGATGCTGAAACAGCTTGATACCACAAAGAGAAAATCATGTGTCCTGTGAGCTAAACCGTCCAGCTGAGGGACACGCCATTCAGCAGTGATCACAATCAGCAATGCTATACTTTGGTTTGGACTATAGACTACTAGCTGCTGCACCAGATCCATGAATTTCAAATTGTTGCAGATATTTTTCAAGCATGTCTGTGAGGTGTTTGTGAGAGAGAGAAAACACGCACCTGAATACTAAGAAGTGTGGCGTACCACTCCCTCATTTCAGACTGATTTTCACAGCAGACATACCTGCAAACAAACGGATAGTGATAACGTGAGCCACGTTGTGCAGCAGCATTAGGAGATGGGGCGTGAAGCTGATAAGCTTTTTGAGATGGAGAACAGTTTGAGAAACAGAACAAGAAGATAGAGGTCATCAGAGATATAAGGGAAACAGACATGCTCTCTCCTATAGTGCAGGGAGCGTGATGGTAAATTGGAAAGAAAACACTGATCAGTACTTTCAGCTCTATGTGCTGGTGCCCATGAAGTGATTATGTCTCTAATGATTTATTGTGAGCACATTTTATGCCACTTGGGTCTCCATCCCATAAAGCCCTCTGAGTCATCAACCAAGCTGTGATGCTGAATAAGCAGGCTTCATTTATACACTTATTACTGTTCCTAGCACAGGTTTCAACTACAGCAATTACTCAGGCGCTCTCCTCTGAGACTCGACAACTCAAACAGTATGCAGGGTTAAGTGTATACCACAGTTGTAAGAAGCCACACACACACTCACACACCTTTCACTTCCCTGTGAACAGTTTGCACCATCATGCCCAACAAAGCTCATTAGTGCTAGCCAGGATTCAAAGTCTCACATCTGAAATGACACTGTTGACTTTCTGTTTTTCTTTTACGTACATTAAAATGCCGGCCAGCTACAACAATTTTGAACCACAAATTAATAAAAACTGCTCCATTGTTACTCTCCAAAATGCCTTCGATTTAAAGTTCTATGATATTCTGAAAATAAGTTAGTATGTTAAAAAGCTGTGATGGTTTATTATCTGGGTGTCCAAATACGTCTTTAAAACGTCTTCAGTTAATCCAAAATGCTGATGCCAGAGTCTTAACTGGAGGATTTATCAAAAAGGAAAGTCTTAATCCCAGTCTTAAAACTGGACAATGTGTCAGCTTCACAGACAGAAACTGGAAGTTGGTTCCACAAGAGAGGAGCCTGATAAAGATTTTCCTCCCATTCTGCTTTTGGAAACTCTAGGAACCACGAGTAAACCTGCAGCCTGAGAGTGAAGTGCTTTGTTAGGAAAATATGGAACAATAAGATCTGTAATATAAGATGGAGCTAGGTTGTTGAGAGCTTTGTAGGTTAGAAGTAAGATTTTGAATTCTGTTCTGGATTTGACAGGGAGCCGATGGAGAGAAGATAAAACTGGAGAGATATGATCTCTTCTACTAACTTTTAAACGGGAGTTTTTCCTTTCCACTGTTGCCACTGTGTTTGCTCATGGTGGGAGACTGCAACGAAGCCAAGATTCAACTTGTCTGCTGAATTCCTTAGAGAACGTTACTAATTGGCTTTTATGTATGTGAATGTTCCTGTAAAGTGCCCTGAGACAACTTTGTTGCGATTTGGCGCTATATAAATAAACTGAATTGAACTGAAGCTGGAGCGAAACTACTGCAAGAATTTTTATGAGAAAATACCACAACAAAAAGAGAAATTTAAAGATGCATAAACTTAAGGCGACAAAGTCAATAAAAGAAGAAAAAAGTAGCAATATTAAGATCCAGTGGAAATGTTAAATCGGCTCAGCAGCTGCTTCTAAACTCTGCTTTAACTAGTTTTTCAGCAGCATGTACTCAAATCAAAACTTTCTAACCTCTGATTATCCTCACATTTCTTTTAACTCCTTATACCTTCCCTCTCTCTCTCTCTCTTGCTTGTTCTAAGTTGAGTTTCTAAATGAAACAAAAATGGAACAATAAGGCAGAACAAAATGATTATTTGGCCCACAGCGTGACAAGGACAGGGCTCTCCTTACATCTGGGAAGATTACATGTGTACTATTATAAGTAAAAACTGAACATTCAGCTCTGTTGGGCTCTAGCAGTACCAGGTACACGAACAGGGAACAAGATTATTCACCTTTTCTTTTCCTCTACACTTATTTTTCAAACAAAAAACAAATCAGCTGCTTCTTTTCTCCCTGCTGATGAAAAGATGTAGCATGTTTACTGCTGGCAGTAGTTACAGCATATAGTTACTCTGTCATATGTGTGAGCTTATGATAAAATTATAACCAGACACACAGAATGAATAAAAAAATATATATAAATTATTTAAGGCACAATTTTTATCACAAGTCACAAAGAGTGTAAAACCAGAGTATACTTACAGCTAAACACTTTGATATACATACAAACACAATCAGTTCCATTGTTTTTTGTGTAAATCTTTTTGCACCTTCTGGCCTGCATCACAGTGAGGGTGGGTATTGTATTACATCGTCTTTGCAGTGCACCGAGATGTGCATAACATCAGCTTTGGTACTCCACAAGCACATCCCCAACAAAAAACAGACGCACACAGAGAGACACAGACCCAGAATAGAATAAAGCCAGTTACAGGTGCACTCATGTGTTTTCCCTCTAGGTGGAGCCGACCTTTCATACGCCTCCCTCTTCAAACTCTCTCATGCAGAGATCTGACCTGTTTACCCCGCCTAAAGAAAAGCCTGCAGCTTCCTCTGATGTTTATTATATTTGCATGCATATCATAAATATAATTACGCCACCACTAAGGAGCAAACGCCACTGCCTGCAAACATGTCAGAACAACTGTGCAAGTCTGAACTGAAGCCGGCTACACTGTGTACGTGGTGCGTAGTGCCACTGTAGGAATAAAACAAGAATAAAAATCCAATTTTTAGTACTAAAATATGTTTAAAACTTACTTGTTTTTATGAGTAGGAGGTAGTAGAAGTAGTACTGAACCAAAGTCATTGTAAAAAAAAAAAAATCAAAAGTTTCAGATCAGTCCTAGTTGTAATGTGAAATAGAAACATGACCGTAAAAAAGTTTACGTTCTGTTGTTTTCTCATGCTTCAGTTTGCACTTTATGAAGATATTAGAAACAAAGCTAAACCTGTTTATATAAAAACAACAACAAAGTCAAAACGCAAGGTATGACAGTGGTTACACGTTGGAGAAAATCTCTCGTTCTCTGACGTTTACTCAAATGAACCACAACTTACAACAGCTGAAGATTTGTATCTGGCATTTTACTTGCAAGGTCAGATTTAAGGACAAGTTAAGTACATAAATATACATAAATGTATACACAGGACGACCAGTCAGAGAAATGAGCCTCATTATCTGCTCGCTTTTATATCCCTCTCAGCTCAGCTGAGTTCATCATAGTTCAGGGGGTGTCCTTGAAGCCAGCTGTAGCCTCACACGCCATGCTTTGTTTGTACAAACATATGGTTCATGGGCATCAAAGAGACATCCTTTAGTTTGAGATAAGAGAGTGTTTTGGGAAACAACTGAGCTCCTTGTTCTCAGGGCAGAGAGGAAGAGTGTTCTCTGCCACAGTAATAAAAACATCCATAACCTCTGACCAAAAATTCCATAACATTAAGCTATCCAAAAATACTTAAATCCTAAAAAGGATGAACTGCAGCTTAATAAAGTGTACATTTCAGATCATTCATTTTAGATACAAGCTACTCACCACTGCTGCTTCTCTGGTTTCTCTTGTTTCTTGCTCTCATACATTACCGTCAGGCCCCAACTAGATACAAAAGATAAAAAATAAACAAACAAAATTACCAATTCGTTTGAAAATCAGTCATGTGATTTTTGGTCTTAGTCTGTCCCCTAGTGGTCACTGACCATACTTATGAGACCCAGGAACTATTTTAGTCGAGTCAAATTTATTTACAGAGCACATTTAAAAAAGAAACTGTTACCAAAGTGCTTAGGTTTGGGCAAATAAGTACTGGTAGCTATATACAATTTATACTATATATATATTTAAGTGTATCATTTATATATTTTATAATAAATAATTTGTAATTCGTTTGTATCTGAAAAATTAAAGAAGAAAAAAATGTATCATTTGCATAAGAAAAATACTTTAATAATTGAAAATGTCCTCAAGTCTACAAGCGGTATACCCATATTAAGGCACCTTTAAATAATCAGTTTTGTTATTTTTTATTTACGGTAATGATCACATTTACTCACAGTGTGGGAGGACGGAGTCTCTTCTTGATTCCTAAGTAAACCTTCAAGCTTTTCACCGGCCATTCTCGTTCTGGACGGTTACTCTGACAGAAAAAAACAAATACCCTCAAACTTGTGAAATAAAGTAACAACTAAGAACAATAAAGACTTCGCCTGCGTGTAAAACTCTTACTCTGACATCCTTGTACATTCTGAGCGAGGTGACGTTGAGAATGAAGAATCGTTCGTGGAAATTTCCAGACGGCAGCCCCAATCCCAAGATGCTTCGTTCTTCTCTGAACTTCATTATTCCATGTTTGGATACATCCATTTTATTGGCTGAGAGGTAGAATTAAATATTCACAAGTGTACAGAAATATGAAGGGCAGTGCAATGGTTTAGCAAGAAAGATATTTATGTTTTACCCAGGAAGGCCTTCATAGCCTCTATATCAGGATGTTTCTTGATTAGCAGACGGGAATCAGCTCCAATAGAGTGAAGGATGGGCAAGACTCGCTCCTGATAGTGCAGGAGACGTTCTGAGAAAATACACAATAACAAAAAAGGATGATGTAACTAAACGTAAACTGAAACTAAACTACTCCTTGGCATGACCAGAAAAGGAATAAGTGAGGAAAAAATAAGAATGGATGGATAAAAAATTTGGACATTATGACAGCATGAGCCAAGGAAGGATAAGGTTTGAAAACTGGTCTTCCGACAGGTAACAGGAAATCTGACATATCAGTTGGGTTTTACTGGCATCGAAAAAGTTTCCTGCCAAAATACAGGCGGTGCACATACCGAACACAAAACAAAAGCCAAAGAAAACAGAAACAAATCTACTGATTGAAATGTGCTGTCATAAGAGCATATGCTTTGTTATTAGTGATTCGAGTTATATACAGAAAACCTCACAGGTTGGTCTATTTCTTTTGTTTATTTTCATTAGTCACTGTTATTTTGACAGCTTAAATTTAGTGGTGCTTTCCAAACCAAAGCCTCATAATCTAAAGTCACACAGGCAGAGATTTCAGATGGTTTCCAAAAACTGACTGGATACCTTTTATTGTGAATAGGAGCTCTTTTAATGCACATTTTAGTAATCTTTCTTAGGCAGAAAAAAAAAATCAAGAGTGAGTATGTTTAACTTGAGCATTGAAATTAAACTTAGAATAATTCATAGCTAAGATTTCTAGAAACCTGAGTGATATTACATGATCAATTATCAAATCAATAGAAGACAGAAGAAAATAGAAGCGGGCTGAGGACAGATCCCTGGGGCACATCACATTACAATTGAACCATCAATGACATACACTTGTGAAGAGCAATAGCAGAATATAAAGTCATCTCCTTCTCTCTTTTAATTTTTTCCATGTGTCTCACCCATATCTTCTTTATCACAGACCTCCCAGCAGGTCCAGTAATCTTTTTCTCTAACTAGAATGTTACGTCGGTCCAAAACCTCACATGTCAGCTCTGCTGCGGTCATGGAACCAGGCACCTGAGGGGAAAACAAAACAGGAACCAGAGTTGATCAATTATCACAGAGTAGAGGTGACTGCAGGAGTTTACAGTGCCTTGTGAAAGTATTCGGCCCCCTTGAACTTTTCAACCTTTTGCCACATTTCAGACTTCAAACATAAAGATATAACATTTTAATTTTTTGTGAAGAATCAACAACAAGTGGGACACAATCGTGAAGTGGAATGAAATTTATTGGACGTGTCAAACTTTTTTAACAAATAAAAAACTGAAAAGTGGGGTGTGCAATATTATTGGGCCCCCTTGTGTTAATACTTTGTAGCGCCGCCTTTTGCTGCAGTTCCAGCTACAGTCTCTTGGGGTTTGTCTCTATCAGTTTTGAACATGGAGACACTGAAGTTCTGCCCATTCTTCTTGTAAAACAG